TTTTTTTCTCTCACCAAAATTTTCATTCAACGCTATCACCAAATCACACAATTATCGTATCTAACTGGGTTGCACATGATTCTTCTACAACATCACTCCCTATACTTTCAAGCAAGAAAAAAAACATATTTTTTGTCCTAAAAAAAGTCAAAACACGTTGAAATTGACTTACCCGCTTGAATCCTGGTTCCATGACTCATTGCCAATGATATACATGAATGTCTTTCATATTGTGTTTTGATCGATGAAGGCCATTAGTACCTTTGATCTTATGCTTTCCCATTCATAGTTTCTAGGTTAGTATTCTCTTATAACTTCTATCTATAACTTATATAACTTAAGATTTTACCCTTATTGATGATTACTTTCTTTTAAAATAATAACTACACAATATTTCTATAATTTTATCCATTTTTATCTTCTCGCTCTTAGAAATTTTCTCTACCTCCTTTGTACAATTTTTTTCCATTCTCCCTCTCTACATTTTTCTCATCCCAATCAATTCTCAACTTCCGCTTTATTCCAAACTCATCCCCACTCTATCCTGGTATGAATCACATTTGCAAACAAGTTGTATTATATTTTAAGTCATCTTCTTTAATGTTGGATATAGTGACACATGGTGTAGAAGAATAATACTCTGACCCCGATAAGGACACCATTAAGAAGCATGACTGTGGTTATGATGATTAGTAAACCCTTGATGATCATGACTTACATGAGGATGAAGAAATGACATTTTATTGGTTTAACTAAATTAAATTTTTGTTTCACAGGTCACTACTTTGAAATCACAATTGGAGGAGCAAAATCAAAAATTTGATGAACAAAATAAAAAATTTGAGGCAATATTTAACTTTTTTGCGCAAAATTATCAAGGTCAATTGCCTCCCAACTTGGCAATGTTTCAACCTTCACCGGTAACTTTTAAAAGTCAAATAATTTTTTTAATATATTTCGTTGTATAATTTTTTTAAGTTTTAAATTATGATTTACGTTTATATTTCAGGTTTCTGATCAAGGAAGTGTACCAACTAATGAAACAAATTATCAACATGGAGATGAACATATTTGATAGTTGATGAAGAGCATATCAATTTAAAGAAGATTTATCCTTTATTTTCATAAATTTGATAGAACATATTATCATTGTACTAGTTTGTTTTGAGTAACATATTTTATCATTTTATATTCACTATTTTCTAGGATTGACCATACAAGAGTCTTCAGAAACTTCTTTTAGTGTATAAAAGTTTTTATACATTGTGATGTTATGTACTTTTTGTTTCACAATCAAACTAATATAAATTTGTGTTAGTTCTACTTCTATACTTTGTAATTTGCATCTTTGTTACTTGATTTATTTTATATAATTGTATAACAAAAAGGTCATTACGTAAAGAATATTCAGTATAATATTGAATTTGCAGTATAATTATTTTATATAATTATATAACAAATGTAAAGAATATCCGACATAATATTGAATTTGCAAGTATAAGAAAGTATTCTTTTAAAAAAAAGATATTAACAAAATTAGATAATCTAGAAAAAATTTAGATTGTATTAGCGGGGGTTATATAACTCCTAACACATTCCTGGGATTATATAACTCCCACTAATATATATGATTTAATGGGGGTTATAAATGCATGTTACTTAATGAGGGTTACATATGTCTAGTTAATTACTTGGGGTTAGAAACCCTTGTCAAGTAATGGGGGTTAGAATTCGCAACTATATAAGTGAGGTTAGAAACCTTAGTTAATTACTAGGGGTTAAAAATCGCAACTACTTAGTTGGGGTTTAAAACCCCCAGGAAATTCACAATTTCCGGGGGTTGATGAAAATCCCGGCTAAAGACATTACCTACGAATGATTTACCGGGGGTTTTGATAACCCCCTGGAAATGCGTTTAGCGGGGGTTATAACCCCAATTAACATGATTTATCGGGGGTTTTGATAACCCCTGGAAATGCGTTTAGCGGGGGTTATAACCCCAATTAAATTCAAAATTAACCCCCATTAAATTCCATTTTTTTTGTAGTGATTATTCATAATTAATTTATTTTTATAATAAATTTTTAATATAACTTAATTATGTATTTTTATTTTTATTTTTATATTATATAAACTAAATGACATTTATTTTGGTGCTCCTCTAACAATGTGATTCTGAAGACTTCCATTATATGAAAAATGATTTACAGAAAATTATAAAATAAAAAGTGCAGTTTTTTTATTTTTAACGTCAGTCAGTCCAAACATCAAATGGTAAGCAGCAACTTTTCAGGTTTCAATGAATGGTGATGCTCAGCCACTCTCACGTTTCATTAATACAAAACGTTTCAGTTTGAAATCACTTCACCTTCAACCATAAAATGTCCTCTTTTTTTCTTCTTCTAATTTGTATTAGTATCTTAATCACATGTCCTTTTCTTAGGTAGGCATGCTTCTACTCCATCTCTAATTCATTTTTAGCATATTTTTCATCTGGGTTCGTTGTTTTGGCAAAAGGTTGCCCCCGTTTTCTATTTCGCGATGATAGGTTTAAGCCAATGTCGTCACGAATTTTTTTTCTTAGAATAATTAAGAATATGATTGGATAAAAGTTTAGAAATGTCCTTTATAAGAATTTTTTAACTGAAAATTAATCTTTATTTTTAGTAAAGAATCTATACAAGCAGTCTCTAAATCATTTGACACTTGTAATTTTAAGGTTGTTTAATATTTTATGTAGGCCCTTCATTCCTTGAATCTATAGCAAAATGATGAACCATTGTTATGAGGAGGAGAATCAAAATTCTTTGTATATGGAGCAAAAGCATAGTGAGAAAGGTGTTATTATGAGCAAACTCATTGCGGAGCTAGTAGAGAACATTGATTCCATGAAAAGAAGTATGTTGGAAATGCAAAACAAATATGATGTATCGTTGAACATAACCAAGAAGTTGATGGGCGACAGAGATACAATGCACGAGGAATGTCACACAGGTTAAATACATTTTGAGATTAAGGAATATAGTATAGTATTAGTATCTGTGAGCTTTCAAACAGATTCGAAGAAGCACATTTGTACTTGCATAATTTTGATATTTAGGTTGTGTTTGGATAAAATTTTCCATAACCATGTGTTTCATTTGTTATATACAAATATTAATACTTGTTTCTACTGCGTTTGTTGATATAGGCTTACATATGTGATATGATTTCCATCTAGAATATCATTGGAGTTTATATGTTTTCTGTATTTGATTATGATCAAGTTTCACTAAATAGTAAACACTATTCAGAATTACAACAGTTGAAGGTCATGAACTATAATCTAAGTCAAGAAATGGAATGTATAAAGAAAGAGCATGAGAAGATCAGCAAGGAACTGAAGGAGAATAAGGCCCTAAGTGATCTGCAGCAAAAGAATTTTACGGAGGCAATTCAAAAGGTCGGTAGCAATTGTATCGTTTGATATATAAACTTTACATAGTGTAGTTCAAGATTTATGCTCAAAGTATATTTTGGAATATAAGGTATCTTGACATATTAAGGATAACTTTTTTCTTTTTTAAAGTATCTTTCTCAATACAAATTATATCATGTTCATAATTGGCTAAACTCATGCAAATTTTCTTATTATACAGTCACATTGTATGTACATGAGCAGGTATTGTAAGGTCAGGACACTAATGTTGTATTCTAACCGCTCATATATAGTTTATTTGGATACGTATGATATAAAGTCTTTTTAGATACAAGTTTAAAAGAATTTTGAAAATTTCTCTATTAAAATATGGAGTTTTTTTTTTCTTTTTCTTCTAGTGTAAAAGATTTTAAAAACACTTATAACTTATATTTAAACAGTGTCCTAGCTAAGTTCATTGATCAACCATACGTACTTGACACGCATTTGGATTGTAACTTGGAATAGATTATTCACGTATAACTGTTACTCACTATTATATATACACCTGCATGCAATGTTTTATGTTAACTCTTTTGTAATGGAGGTGGGTCATTTTTACACAAATGGATCAAGTTTCATGTTTAATGTAACTGTCACGATCTATTTCATTCATGATTCATCTTCCGATGGCCAAGATACCTTATGCCAAAATAATACCATCCTAACTTATTACAGAGAGGCTTAACGATGGGTTTGGTTCTTTCCCATTGACATGGTTTCATGTCATCCATGGGGCACCTTAACAATTTTGGCTCTTTTCCATTGACATCTTTTCATTATTCATCGATGAGATACCTTAAGAATTTGGTGCACAGTTTTTTATTAATATCTCGGTTGTGAAACTTGCATAATTGAATATCTACAGATTTTTTGATAGTGTAATCGAATAAATATTCTAACAATATTCGTTAAAATAAACTCTAATATCATATAAAAATATGAATTTGAATTAAATCCTACAAAATATTCATTTTATTCATATCACTTGTTGATGTGTATAACCTTTATCATGAGTTATTACTTTAGTAAAAAAAATGCAATTATATGATTTCATAAAGGGACTGAAATGCTATAGCAATTAATACCTGAGTACATATGGTTAACACGTAGGAAGCTTGTATATATATGGTTTTCTATGATTAAATTTACCTCGTGTCTATTTTTTTGTGGCAGTTTAAATTTGCTTAAATGCAATTGTATGATTCTATGGTTCTATATATGGTTGTAGAAGGCTTATATTGCTGACATTTATTGGTTTTTTTCAGAATGTAATGGAAATTAGCTCTCTTCAATTCGCTGCTCTGAAGCAACAAAATGACTATGAAAATGTATTGAAACAAGCTGAAGAACTAAAGGTCTGTGTTACCTGTTTTTTAAGCTTTTGCATAATTAATTTAAAGTATCCTTGTCAGTTTCAAAATATCACATTATTTATGTATGCTATTTGACCATCTATTTATCTAGGAGAAAAATGAACAGCTGAATGCTAAAATCATTCAGCTTGAAGAGCTAGAACATCAAGAAGAAAGTGACGATGAAGACGATTATAGTAGTGATGAATGACAAGGTAGCAACTAGTAATATTAAACAATTTAAAAGGGATGTGAGAAATACTTGCAGTAATTATTGAATAATATGTTATTTTTGTGTGTTTGAAATCATTTTTAGAAGGTTGTCCGGCTTTGTTTTAACACTGCAGATTCAATTTATTATGTTTGCAGAATGCAACGGATCGAAAATATCTTCAAACAGCTATCTGGGCCAACTGAAAGTTTATAAAAAATATGAAGAATTAGACTTTAGATTATTTGTGTTGCATGTTCGGTAAATCTGTGTTGTGACCTTGCATAGCTAAATGATCAACACATCTTGTAGCTTGGCTATTAATTATGATTTATGATGGTCTAATTCCAATCTATTAAAGTTTACACCTGTTAGTATTTTATCTTATTTTGAAAGAAATTAGAATTCATTCTTAAAAAAATTAAACGATAGGGGAAATCCATTATCTACTTGAAGGGAATCACAGTTAATCGATCATTATTTGTTATAAGAAAAACTCATTATTAAATCAAGATTTTTGATTGGTTGGTTAATGTTTAACTGGGATTAGAACCTTAAATATGTAAAATTAATTAATCAAGATCAATATTAATCGTAAAAACATCATTATTTAATTCAGATTGGCTAATGTTAACTGGGATAGAATAATTAAAAATAATCTTGTGTTACAATATAAGCTATTTATTTTGAACTGAAAAATATAAATTTTAAATAAAATTTATATATTTAAATATAATATTTATTTGTATATAATTTATTAAAAAAATTATTATATATAATAAACATTTATTATGAAAAATGAATATGTTAAAATTAAGAGTACAAAAAACAACTTTTGAATTATGCATCTTGAAAAATAATATAAATGCAATGTAAAATATTTTTTTTAAGGAAACTTAAAACAAAAACTTTATTCTTATTATGCTTGGGCCGGCCATGTTTATTTTTAAGGGGTTTTAAAAGAATATAGCTATAAAAAAGATTAAAGTTTGAAATAGTCAATTGTAAATGAGAGTAGATAGGTTTTTTTTTATTTACTACAAAGAGTAATTAATTTTCAAAATTGTAAAGTGTGTGAGAGGAGTAAAATATAAAATAAAAATAGAAAAAAAAAAAAGATAGTTATCGAAATATGAGCTTTTATTAAACGTTTGAATTATATTTTTTTCCTTTTCATTTTGACAATTGACGATGCTTTTCATCACGTGTTTCTATAATTTTTTCATTTATCTCTTACGTGCAATTATTCCATAAAACTTATATTTTGATAATAATTCTCATTAGATTAAGGTTATACATATACTTAATTTACTAAAAGTGGCGGATACATCAAGCTTTATATATGAAATTGTATTAAATATCGAATATTTGGTGAAATTTTTTTCTTGACTGGACCGATTTCATTTTCTTTTTATCGTTCATAGATTTATAATTATCTTATTAACTGTGTCAAGTCTTAGAAATTTCGTAAAAATAATAATATAATTATCTAAAAAACAAAATTATTCAGCTGTTAATAAAACATGTATTTAGACAGTTCCATTGACGTTTTTTTTATAAGTATTATTTAAACTTAAAGTAATTATAAAACAGAATAATTATTTAACCGGACAGGAGAAACTGAAAGTAAAAAACTGTTGGTGTTCTTGGATGAGAATCGGAGTTCTATCTCGTGAATATATTTTAGGATAAAATTTAGGTATGTGTAATAATTACATTAAATGTATTTACATAATATTAAAATAAAATTATAATTTTAATAGGAGAACCCATATAAGAAACTGTGACTAAATTTTACCTTATATATTATTATATTATAAGGTTTCTATCTAATAAATATAAATACTTATTATTGGTGAAAATTCCAGTTTTAATAGAAGAGCACCAACAGCACTGTACTTGAGTTTTGATGAAACTAAATTTGTCTCATGTCCTGGAGAGGGCATTTTAATTTTGGATTTGCTCTTAAAGCTTTCATTTTTCACTCTTCTTTTTTATATTTTGATTGAAATTGTTGGAGTACTATTTTTTTTCATTTTTCTGAGCTGCATTTTGTGCACATAAAAAATAAAAATAGAAAATACGTGTGATTTTTGCAACAAAATGTGGGATTTGTTAGAAGTGTTGGACTGAATTTTTCTGCTTTCTCTCACAAATTCCACCCTCCCATTTTTATGTTGCGTCATAGTCAAAGTTCACAACTTTCATAACTATTCATTCGGGTTCTTTTCTTTACCTTTCAATTTTTGTTTGCCATTGAAGTTGGGTTGTTTGCTTTGACACTTAAAAAGATAACATTGATGATTTGAGGTTTTTTTGCGCAGGCAAGTTGAATTTGTGTTGAAATGTTGAATCATAAGTATGAGGAGGCTCTGAGCAATCAGATAATGATTATTGAGAGCCTTCAAAATGAAATTGAGTGCAAGAATCACAAGTTAATGGAGATGGAGCATAAACATAGTGAGACACTTGCTTTTGTGCGCAAACTCGTTATAGGGCTTGTGGAGAATATTAATTCCAAAGAAAGAAGTCTGCTTGAAATGGAATGCAAGTATCATGAATCATTGAACACGGTTCAGATGAATTTGACGAACAAGAGAGAAAAGTTGCACGAGGAATGTCATAAAGGTATTTTATAATCTTAGAATGAGGGAACGACAAAACACTTAAATGTGTTGTTTTAAAGGGAAAGTTATCTGTATGTGGTGGATCCTTTCTTCTGGAAAACTTGCTAGAATTTTTTTATTCTATAGGCTCTTCTATTACCAAATTTTACATGGATTCCATATTTTGATTTTGGTTTGAAACTGCTTTTTTCATCAAGTCATTTGTTTATGTAACAGCAATGTTTTCCACGAGACTCAGGACTACTTGCATCAGTCTCTGTATGAACTTACATGTTCCTCTTCATCTTTGGATTTAAGACCAAATCTTCCATTGTTGGAATTCAAGAAGAATTAGAAGGCTTAAACTCATATATCTTATTCATACTTGTAACCTTTTAAATACATAATTGAAAGTTGATACAAATTCTGCTTATAAACATAAAATTAAATGACAAATATAAATACTCATAAAAGTGTAACAGCACCTATAATTCCTATAATTAAAAAATCATAACCGTAGGAATTCTAATAATGCTCCATTAATATGAAATAAACTCAAATAATAGATGCTGATTCAGATTGGCAACATCCATCTCTAAATTTCTTTCATGGGACACTCTTATTTCTCCTGTATTAGTCCATGAGTTGCGTATACAGTATCATTGAAAATTTTGTGTTTCCTATGCTTTCTTCTGTTCAACTCATGCTTTATATTTTCTAGATTTACAAATGATGAAGAACATCAACGCTAATATGAATCATGACATGGAATGTCTAAAGAAAGAGAATAAGCAGCTTACCAAGGATCTGGGGGAGAGTAAAGCCCTAAATGACCAACAGCAGAAGAACTTTATTGGGGAGATTGAAAAGGTAAGTAACAAAAAGAGGCATAAGACCCTTCAGGTGTCTGATTAAATCATAGCAAATTGTGTGGTTTTCTATAACCAGACCCCTGATCTATTTCTTGCAGCTGTTTAATTGTTTTACTTGGTATCAGCTAACACTGTCAGCGCATTTCATCTTCTACCTTTTCTGTGAAATTGACTTGTATGCTTTCTGTTGAGGGTTGCTAAGTTGAAGCCTCGTCTCTTACATGTTAAATGACAATGTTAGTTTTTGAATGCATTAACTTCCTATTTAAGGGTAAGAGTTGATTAAAACATAATGTAAAATCATTAATATAATATGAGATTTTTTATTTGAGTTTTTTTTTCTTTTTCATTTGTTTAAATTGTTTACATTCCGATCTTCAATATGTTTGTCTGCTTAATATTTAAAACTTCTATTTAATTCGTTTTCCAATTTTTATTGTTCCAGCTAAAAAGAGTGATAGGAGATCAGAGTCATGTAGGAAGTGATGGCCATTTGAACACTCAAATTTCTACTTTTAAAAACCAATTGAAGGACAAAATGGAATACTTGGAGCTTGTAGAAAACCTTTACAGTTCACTTGTGGTTAAAGAGCACCAGTATAGACAAGAACTATATGATGCTCGTAAAGAATCCATAAATGTGAGATTTCGTCCCTTCTTATTCTTCCACAATGCAATGAGATTCTGTAATTGATCTGCCACAATGAATACCCTTTCAATATAACGTATGTCCCTAATATCATAACATATGCAAGGTGTATAAAATAGCATGACCTCGTCAATTTTCCTTGTAGAGTTTACGAGATATGTTTAGAGTTAGATCTCAACTTGGAATCAAAAGAATGGGAGAATTAGATCCAAAACCTTTTCAAGATTTGTGCCTGCAAAAGTACTCAGGTGAGCAATGGCAGGAGATATCTGCTAATTTATGTTCATCCTGGGAAGAGAATATGAAGGATCCAACTTGGCATCCTTTCAAAAAAATTGAGGTCAATGGCATCTTACAGGTACATGATTGTAAATTACCATTATGTAACAAAATGGCTATCATCTTTATTAACTAAATGAATGATAAAAGTTCTTGTGGAGAGCACATAAATATTTAATCTGACATTAGGCGTATTTGTTGAAATCATTTTTTGACATAATTAAGGTGAATTAATTGTTTTGAGATTCTGATAATTTCAGGAAATATTAGATGAAAACGACGAAAAATTGAAAGGTCTAAGAAGTGAATGTGGTGAAGTGGTATACAAGGCTGTAACAAATGCATTAATGGAAATAGAAGAATACAATTCAAGTGGAAGATATGCAATTGCTGAAATTTGGAACTGGAAGGAGAGAAGGAAAGCCACTCTGAAAGAAATTTTTCAATATATTATCAGACAATTGAAGACTCACAAGCGCAAAAGAAAGTAGAACATATTTTTCTTAGGTTTGGTTGTACTTTTAAATTTCAGTCATCAATATATTGTTTTCCTGGATCCCTTTAACACTTATCTTAATATGGTAGATGAATGTAATTGATATACCAAGAACAGAAAGAGTAATTAATGAATGTAGTAACAACTATTAGAACATTATGTTCTAGTATGTGTTAATCTCTTTTCACAATTGACAAGTTTACCAAGTCTAACAAATTGTCAAGATGAGAATTTATCATTTCCCAACAGACTTACTTCAATATCGGCATATGATACATTAGCCATAATTAAGCAACAAAATTCCTAGTTTATTTAGAAGGCAAGGAGCACAAAGCTTCCTCACATAAAACAAGTAAAAATATAAAATTCAATGTATAAAAACTTTTTTTGATTTTTTTATCAATCACTTAAAGATGCAAATGTAACTTTGACAAATTGAAAATATGTTTGGATTAGATTGTAATTTTGATACAAAAATTATATTTCGTTATTTCTAAAAATATATTTTAAGAATTACAAAACATAATCCCATAATCTTAATAACAAAAAAATATATTATTGTAAAATCAAAGTTTCATATTTTTAAAAAGTGATGCCTTCAAAAAAAATTCTGTATACAATATTAAAGATGGATAAAAAAATTAGGGTATAAAAAATATTAAAGCTAAGAATGTAAAAAATAAGTTTTAAATAATGATAGAGATTAACTAGTAATTGTCTTAATTGTTGGAGAAAAAATGATTTTTTTTTTTAAAACAATTTAGTTTAGAAGGTAATAAATAAATTAAAAGTGTATTTAAAAAATTTGAAAAAAAAGTGTAACTATTAAATATGTATTTAAACACCAATTTCAAATAACGTTTAACAAAAGAAAAACACATTTTAATAAAGAGAGAAAAAAAAAATTGGAGTGTAAGATAACACAGCCTAAAAAGTGGAGGTGTAAATAACGTTTATCTGATGGGTGTGATTCTGTTCGGACTGATCTGAAGGGCCTAGCTTGGTGGCCCATTGAGATAGGTTTTGAGTTTGCTACCTCTATTGGCTCTGCATAATGCTTTTTTAGCTTATTTTAGGGAATGAGAGCCCTGATGTATTCTTATTTTAGTATTTTATCATATGTAATGTATAAGACAAATACTAGTTTTCAATTACTTAAATTTATAATAAATAATTAATATAAATATTTGAATTATATTATAAGTAAAATATGTAATTAATAAATTTATTTTTAACATATTAATTATATTTTAACTTTATAAAATATATTCATCTCATGGTATAAGGTTAATTTTAATTATTAATATTTATAAAATATTAATTTAATTTTAAAATAAAGAAAATAAATTGTAAGAGATAAAAAGTTAAGATTGAAAAAATGTTTTAATTGAAGAATTTTTTTTAAAATGTTTTCATTAAAGAATGACTCTTACAAATATTTTCTTAATATAATATTTACATTTTTCAAACAAATTTGTAGGATGATATACAGTCGGTGCCCCCATGTTTAACAATTTTTTCCATGTAAAATACAAACAAATATCAGTTGAATTAAAAATTAAAAAGTATTATTTTTATTTAAAAGTTAAATTCAATTTAACTTAATTTTCTCTCCGAGTTATCAAAGTTGAAATAAGAATATTAAAGACGTAGATTGGTTTAGGGTTTAGGGTAATGCTATTTCATTTGTAAAACTTCTTCCAAACGATTAAAAATATATTGTAAAACATTTATTTATATCTAATTTTAAAAAATTTTAAAAGTTGGAGCATATATCAGAGTCTCATTCGGAATATACAACATTTTTCTTAAAAAGTATCATATCAAATTATGTAGGATGTATAGACAGATTAAATTAGATATTCTAAAAATTTAAGAAATTAAAATGATTAAATTTAAATTAAAAAAACTATAAATTTCATAGACTAAAAAATAAATTTAAGAAAGAAAAAAAAAATGAGGTAGAGTGACGTGGTACTGATAGGCACACTTTTACAAACAGGGACGTACAGAGCAGCAGTGGTTTAGAAGGTACTCTTCTTGCTTCCAGAGTTACCATCTTTTTCCATTACCCTCTGCTAATCCTATTAGTATCATTTTGCTTTCTGCTTCTTATTGTATCCTTTCTTAACATGTACATTTTGGACTACCTTCTTATATGCTTGCTTATGCTCATGTAGATTTCTTATTTTTCCTTTCTCTTGTGTGCTACCATCTATTATTTGCACTCTCCTCTTATCCCAAAAATAAAATAAAAAAATTAACAGAAACGTAAATGAAGTGTTCAAGTTACTGTCTTTGTGTTTTTTTTTTCTTTCTCTAAAAAAATGGAACAGGACATAAAAACCTTATTTTTAAGATTGTTTGTTTCATATTCAAAAGTTAAATTTTATTTCCATGAAATAAAAATTTGTATTAAAGGTGAAGACAGATAAAACACTTCAGGATCCAAGTTTTGTGCTTCTGGCAAGTTGTAACTTCCCTCAACATATTATACTTCTCTTTGGCCCTTTTCATTTTCATTTTGATGTTTGAGCTAAGATTACATGCTTATCTCTTTCCGTTTTTTTGCCTTCTTTTCATGCTTTTTTGGTACATTTTAGTCTCTCTTTTTTGGTGCATATACTTTTCGTGTTTATGATATGCATATGTTGTAGGTTTAAAAAAGTAACCGATGATGTTGTGTAGTTCTAAGACTAAAAATGTTAGACTTTGGCTTTTCCGTTTCAGTTTTATACCCATGCAAGGTTCATGACTTTCATAACTGTTTCGGTTCTTTTTCATTCTGGTGCATTGAATTTGTACTATTTTGCAGATGGCGAACCGTAGTTATGATGAGTCTAGTAGCAAGCAAGACGTTGCGTTTGCAAACCTAAAGGAGGTGATTGAAAGCCAGAAGCAAAAAATTATTGATGTGGAATATAAAAATATTGAGAAAACTGACTGCATGAGCAAACTCAACGAATCGTTAAAACTTATTACAAGCATGGTTAAGAAAGAAACTATGCTGCATAAGGAATGTCAGAAAGGTATATATTGTCTTTATTCTGAAATAGTGGCTATAATTTATATCATTAGCACTAAATTATTGTTTTGTGATATGTTATTTCTTTTGAAAAAACTTTGGAGATTTTGCAAATTATATATTGAATTTATTTGGATATTGTTTCATTCGGCCAATATCATTGGAATTTGGAATTGCATGTTTCCGGTAAATATTAAACTTAGCTTCATACATTTCAGAATTAAAACAGATGAAAGTTCTGAACACTAAAATGAGTCGTGACGTTGAATGCATTAAAAAAGAGAACGAGATTATTACAAAGGAATTGGAAGAATGTAAGACAGTAAATGATATGCAGAAGAAGAAATTTACTCAGGAGAATGGGCTAATCATGAAGGAATTAGAAGAGAGTAAGGCCCTAAATGAAATGCATCAGAAGAAATTTACAGAAGAGATTCGAAAGGTTAGTAGCAATCAGTGCCATATATTACTTCATCTTTATTGGGCTGGATTCAGTTTTTAATAAATGATCTATTAAAATTTCAAATCAAGTTAGAATGAAATAAGCCCATTTACCTATTTATTTTATCAGTTTAATTGTGTTTAAGGTACCTGTTAAAAGCCTTGTTTCACACTAACGGTGTTCGTGTTTTCAGAATGTAATGCAAATTGGCTCCCTTCAGGTGGCTTTGAAGCAAAAGAATAATAACAATGTTTCAGGATTGTCTGAAGAACTAAAGGTCAGTCTTAACTGTTTTTAAGCTTTGTAAATGTAGCAGGTATCCATGTCGGCATCAGAAGAGTATATTATTAGTGGCATTTGATTATCTAACCAGGTTCAAAATGAGCAACTCAATGCAAAAGTGATTCAGCTGGAAAAACAACTAGAATGCTGTCAAAACCTGGAATTGGAGAATCAACAACTTAAAGAGAAATTAGATGTGATGAAGCACATGGAAGATGAATTTCTGAACATGGTTGGTGCTTTACATATGAATGTAGTGGAAAAGGAACGGTTACTTAAGGACTCAGAAGATTTCAACCAATCACTAATCATTAAAGAGCGTGAGATTAATGACGAGCTTCAAAATGCTAGAAAGAAATTGATTGAGGCAAGTTTTTTTTTTTTTTTTTTTTTAATTTTATTATGACATATGTCTTTGGTTATCCTAATGGGATAATAAGTCATTTTGTTGTTATTGGTATATTTGTGTTTATCTTTGGTTTTAAAGGAATGATTCTGTGAATGAATTTGGGGGAGCATATGTTCAATCATATTAAGATTTACGATTCTTATTTGAATTATTTGGCCGTCATTGGATGATTATGGCCTTGATCGTGCATCTGATGATGATATTGCCTTCCTGATGTGTTGTGTGATTTATACATGATTTTAATTGAATGTTGTAACTACTCAGGTCTAAAATGAAAGTTGCTTTGAATGGCACATGTGATGAATCTACATTTTTGTATAGTGCAATGCATCCCTATTATTTTCTACTGCCCTTGATTACGAAGATGCCTCTTCACTTTTGCCATGTATCACATTACTCACTGGACTCTTATGAAAATTTATCGTTTTTGAAGCTTTCTATAATTTTTTACTTTTCTATATTGTTTTCTAAATTTACTAATAATCTCTTCCTTTTATTGCAGGGTATTGCGGAGAGATCAAGTCTTGATGATGGCAATATTTGTGTGAAACAAATGGGAGAAATAGACACTGAGCCTTTCCTTAAAGCTTTTACTGGGAAGAGAAGATATAATGAAGAGGAAGCAGAGCAGAGAGCTTTAGAAAAATGTTCATTGTGGCAAAAGTATCTAGGGGATCCCCATTGGTATCCATTCAAAATAATCACAATTGGTGGGAAATCAAAGGTGCAACTTCATTAGACACATTGATATCCTGAAGTTTACCTACTTGATAGTATCTTTCACTCTTAATAGAATTTATCTCATTCTATTGATATATGTATGCTGTTTTTTTTTTTTTTTTTTACAAGATAATGAATATCATGACAAAGTTGAGAACAAGTATGACCTTTGTTGTTTCAGGAAATTATAAATGAGGAAGATGAAAGGCTAAAAAGATTGAAAAGGGAAATGGGTGTTGGAGTATATAAAGCTGTGGTGACAGCTCTAAAAGAAATGAATGAATACAACCCAAGTGGGAGGTTCATGGTAAGAGAATTGTGGAACAACGACGAAGGAAAGAGAGCTACACTGGAAGAAGGAATCGAATTCCTATTAAATCAAACAAAAACAAAACGAAGGAAAATAGGTCAAATGGATGATGGAGCAAATGAGAATGGTGATGATGATGAAGTTTTTGTAGAAAAAAATAAGAGAGATGAGGTAATACTAATGTTGTGAGTGAACGTAGCAACTCACTGTATTTTTTTATTGAGTAAGAGATGACCTTTAAATAGCCATTTTACAACGTACTGAAGTATTCCTATTAAGAAAATTTTATGATAGTAAAACATCATATTGTGTAAAATTATTTATATAATTATATGCCAACAAATGAATTCATTCCATATATGAGTTATTTTAAATTTTAAGATAATACATATATAGAGTATATAAAGAATTGAAATTTATTATTGAAAGGTATGACATTATTCAATTTAATTATTTATTAATTCTGATATATGTTTTAGTTATGTTAATGTTAACTAAAAGTAATAACAGAATGACATTTAATTTCTATCATAAATAGCAAGGAACCTAAAAATCGTCCTGAAGTGCAATCTTTATTTGGTATTCCTATTAAGAAAATTTTATGATAGTAAAACATCATATTGTGTAAAATTATTTATATAATTATATGCCAACAAATGAATTCATTCCATATATGAGTTATTTTAAATTTTAAGATAATACACATATAGAGGCACGAACTGCCTCGGCCCTACTAGTATATATAGAGAGAAGGGATCTGTTGTTTACTTTAAGAGTAAGTCTACCTAGATTTACTCTGTTCAATAACTTATATTCTACATTAAATTTCAACGATCCAACCATTGAATTTAAAGTTTTTAATGCATAGATCAAGTCTGCAAATTTTTAGAAAATTTGATAATCATTTGATACTTCATTTCATTAATTAAAATTGATAGATAATCATAAAATCATTTTATACATTGATTTGAATTAATGAAATGAAGTATCAAATAATTTTCAAATTTTTTAAAAGTTTGCAAATTTGATCTATGCATTAAGAACTTTAAATTCAACGGTTGGATCGTTGAAGTTTGATGTAGAACATGAGTTATGAACAAAATAAGTCTAGGTAGACTTACTCCTAGAGTAAACGGATCCCTCCTTATAAAGAGGGTTCAAATGATATCAATATAACTTTTATTATTTATTATATCGTTCAATAATTTTTAATTAAATGTGAATTTTTGTCAATCCAACCATTGAATTATAACTTCAAAATTGAACAATAATTTGAAGATAATCAAAATGTTCATATTTTAATATATTAAATTCATATTTAATTGAAAGTTATTAAATGATGTAATAGTTGATAAAAATTACACTGATATTGTTATATATATATATATATATATATATATAAAGAGAGATTTAAGTGTGTATTTAAATTAGATTCTGAAATCATGATTTTACAATTTTTACTCGATTAACTTGATAAAAAAGTGAGTTTATAAATAGTAATTTATATTTTTTTTTATTTTTAACTTGAAACGAAAACTTCATTGCAAAAAAAATCACAATAAATTATTTTTAAATATATACTTGTTAATAAAAGACATATGATCCACATACAATAATTTGTACAATAATAATTTTGTATTTTTTTACCTATCACATAATATATTACATTTTAAGTTTCTCTTTTTTTCTCTCATTCTCTTTCTAAGTGTTTTAGAAATATTATTTCTCTTCATAAAATAATCCCTCCTAAAATGTACATAAATTGATTCACGCTACTTAAAAGAAATTAATTAACATCATTTAATTGTATTAATTTAATTAAAAAAATTTAAAAAAAATTCTTAAATTACTCTTCATTGAAACCTAATATTAAAGATGAAAAAGAATTAATTCAAATTAAAATTTCAATTAAATGAAGATATTTTGGAGACAATATCATTAAATGAAGTAAAATTAGTTGAAATTTATTTGTATTCAAAACCAACATATATGATTTTTTTTCTAACAGTTGAAATAGGATAAAATATTAAATATTACTTTCTTCGTTTCATAATGATTGTAATTTTAACTTTTGGAAAATGACACAAAATGAATGATTTTCTTACTTTTTTTAATATAGTATTAATTAAATTTTCCCTAACTTGTCCTCTCATAAAATTATTCGGTCACCACTCACCACTTAAAAGTGATGTATTTATTAATAGATTGAATTATTTTGATAAAATTATATCAAAAGTTATGTATTTATTCTAATTCTTAATATGTATAAAAATCTTAAATTGTAGTCATTATTGGACAAATGAAGTATTTGTGACATTAAAATTATATTATGAAATTACAATAATATTTTGAGTAAATAATCTATGTATTTATGATGAAAATTTATTTTACATTGTAATTCAATGAAAAAAAATTGTCATATATAATAATTTTATTAACTTTTACATTTTTTAAAATTATACACATTATGATATGTAATTGGTTGATAAGATAAAATAATTTCACTATTAATTGTTAGTGTATATAACCATTAAACTCTATTATTTTTCCCAGTATATGGCGCTAAATTTGTCCAAGCACAAATTTATTACCCAAAACTTATTTTTATAGAATGATTTAGAGAAAAAAAAAAAGTTAGAGAGAAGACAATTTTTTTAAAATTTGAATAAAAAATAAAAATGTCTTTGAATAACAATATTTTTATTTCATTTTTATCTTTATTCTTATTAAACTAATATTTTTATATAATTAAAATCAGTATTTTAGCATGTTTAATGTATTGGTTAGATATTTATTATATATAACTAAAAATTATAATAAATTATATATAATAAATATTATATCTGAATATATAAATCATTAAAAATTTGTATAAATAGATCTTATTTTAACTATCATAAATTGCAAGGAACATAAAAATCGTCATGAAGTGCAATCTTTATTTGGTATTCCTATTAAGAAAATTTTATGATAGTAAAACATCATATTGTGTAAAATTATTTATATAATTATATGCCAACAAATGAATTCATTCCATATATGAGTTATTTTAAATTTTAAGATAATACACATATAGAGGCACGAACTGCCTCGGCCCTACTAGTATATATAGAGAGAAGGGATCTGTTGTTTACTTTAAGAGTAAGTCTACCTAGATTTACTCTGTTCAATAACTTATATTCTACATTAAATTTCAACGATCCAACCATTGAATTTAAAGTTTTTAATGCATAGATCAAGTCTGCAAATTTTTAGAAAATTTGATAATCATTTGATACTTCATTTCATTAATTAAAATTGATAGATAATCATAAAATCATTTTACGTTTGTAAGAAAGGGTGTATAATCCGCTAAGGTTGATAGTGAGGTTATTTTGAGTGCAGGTTGATGTGTGACTAAATTTGTTTTGAGGACTGACAAACACTCTAGTTACTCTCGTCAGATTTCTTTTTGTTGTTCCACACATGTATTTATCATGGATGTGTTTTTTGCTTACTTTATTTTGTTCAAAGTTTGGCTGAAGTTTTATATGTCTGACTGGTATTAAAAGTTATTGAACACTGTTCTGTATATATCAATACTCTTTGTTAGTCTTTGTTTTTATTTCAGTGTATAAATTGGAAGGTTAGATTCGTTTCCCTTAGACTAAACATATATCTATATAAGGTGGAAGGAGTTTAATAGTAGGGGTTGCTGCTGTACTCTGGATAAATGAGGGATTTTGGTACTGTATCTTATGTGTATATACACATCATTTAAATGTCATGTCAGTCTTTTAAATAAAAATTATTTTGTATTTAAATTTTTACATTATTTATTTTTAAGTTTTTATTAATATTTTTATAATTATAAAATAGTAACCAACCAGGCCTGTTAAAGAGACTATCTGTTGGATGAGATGTTTGCATAAAATCATCCACCGGAACAGGAAGCTGGAACTGAGCTTCAATTCCATAACCTGCTGCTCGCATTTCTGGACAATCAAAACTGGTCATTGACTTGGGCAAAAGTTTGAAGGCTAAAGAACATCGTTCATACATATTAGCCTCCATATTAATCTCAGTCTTGTGTAATGCAGGGTTTACATATCCTGCAGTTGCTTGGTAAAGAGCATTCCAGGATAAATAATAGCTTCTTGAGGTCCCAGATCTCCATCCACAAGAATCCACCGAGCCCGCTATGACCCCTTTTATTTTAGAAATCCCGGGCAGAAGCGACGTGGTCGAGGCCCTAGGCCGGTTCAGCCGCAGAAAGAACACGGGCCTATGCGTCCTGTCCGGTTCGGGAACTGTCACCAACGTCACTCTCCGTCAACCCTCCGTCACTCCCGGCGCCAGCGTCACTTTCCACAGTCGCTTTGATGTCCTCTCCCTCTCCGCCACGCTCCTCCTCCACGACTCGTCGCGCGGTTTCCACCTTCGCCGTCTCGCTCGCTGAGATTCCGAAAAAAAAAAAAAAACGTGAACTTCAACGTGGATGTGAATTTTAAATAATTAGAAAATTATAAATAACTTAGATTTACACGTAAGTGTCACATCATCAACAGTACCAGTACCCTTCTTTTATACAGGATACCGTAGAAATTCTCATTGAATTAAAGTTGAGGTGTAATGTTGACCACAATCCTATATCTCGTCCAAATTTCTCTGGGAGAGAATATATATATATATATATATATATATATATAACTTGCT